AGCAACTATGTAAGCAGGTCTGGTATCAACTATGTTGAATGAGGCTTCGTGCCTTATCACCCGCATTTGTTCCTTCGTCAGCTGCTTGGATGAAAGGTTGTGCACCAGTTTTACACCTTTGGATGACGTTGGATGATGTAGCTTTCGAAACTTAATTTCAAGTGCTGCTTCTCGCTTCGCTTTATGTTCGCGGGCACGTTCGCCTACCCTCTACTGGAGCAGTTTTGTACCATTCTTGTCCATGAACTCAAAGCACTTTGCTTTCTCTTCGTCGATCCTCCGACAGTACTTGCGAAGCCTCGCGTTACAGTCTTGAAGGATCACTTACGATCATACATCTACAGTGCTGAAATTCTCTGCGTCTCCCCAAATCTGTAGTAACCGGAGCTCCGTACGAAACATATCTCGGTAACACATTATTTTCGAGACACCTATACAGGAATTGGTCGTGCAATCTGTGCATGTTTCACCCCTATCTGCGCATGACGCAGACTAACCTACCATTACCTATGATTAGGGATTCCCGACGGAATCCAAAACGTCAGGAAATTAAAACTCTTGTTCCAGTGGTCACATCTTCTTCTGGACGTTGGAGGAAGTTGAGAGCCGGACAAGTGTGTATCGGCACCCGAGGGGGGGGGGGCAGCGTCCAAATTGTGACAGCACGGCAGTCGTCACAGTCCGGTCCTGTGTGAGTCAGCCTTTAAGGCTATTGGCCACTTGCTAGCCGCCGCGAGGGGCGAGCGTTCGCGAAAATTGTGAGGTAACCACACGATCACTGCACCGAAGGATAACAACAACCACCACAAGAAGACAGCAGTAACTGTATGAATGGAGCTTCAAGGCCTCAAATCATTTCGTAGGGTAGGGATAGAACTCAGTACCTCGTGGTGTGATAGCTGCTGAAATACTCACGTCTCCACGACAAAACATTAAGTCGTCTACAAACGATTTAGTGTCGCTATGCTCATACCACAATTGGATATCGTGTCGACTGCCACAACATCATGGG